ATGAATAAAATTTAAATTATAGGTATTTACATGTTTGTTGAAGAGAATATTTTTTTATTTTTAGAAATCACGTACACAACTAGGATGATTTCAATCCAAAGACTGATTCGAGTCGAGACATTTTCTTGAATCTAACGCGATCGCAACTCTCTGTAAATATTTTCCAACGGAGAATCCAAGACGATTCCAGGAGAATAGTTGAAATTCTACAACTCGGTAGTCAGTTGAGACTCGTGAATTAGGGGTGCAATTAGGTACCGGAAACGTGAAAATCCATAGGATGAACATTGTTACGCCTGGATCTATGGAGAATTGAACCGAGAAGGGTATCGGATTCGGCAAACGACCGGTGGGGAAGCGAATGCTGGGACGACCGTTTCACGAGAAATTGTATTAGCCTTGTCCTGGACAGCGGTAACCCTTGCATACCGAATGAACTTATTGTTGCCCCTGTTGCAAGTAGAATACGCCGTTGCATGCGGTAACGTGGCTCTGAAACCGATCCCCCGTCCCTTTCCCTTTCCCTTTTCCCCCCAATGGAATTATTATCGATGTTTCCACGCGCGTTATCGACTTCGAAATTTCTCCAACGACGCGAGACAACGCCTCGTTGTTCCTATCTTTCCAGAATTTCCGGTCTAATGGAATCACTCTCCTCGTCGTTGCACACCCTCGTGGTTTGCGTATACAGGGTGTTCGTACCTGGGAAAAATTTTAATTGGAGATTCTACAGACCAAAATAAGAGGAAAATCAATAATAACAATTTGTTGATTGAGACTTCATTAAAAAGTTATTAACGTTTAAGGTTATGCCTGTGAAACGCCAGCGCACATAGTTGTACGCAGGTTGCAAATGTTAATAACTTTTTAACGAAGCCTCGATCAACAAATTGTTGTTCTTCATTTTCGTCTTATTTTGGCCTCCAGAATCTCCTATTAAAATTTTCCCCAGGGGTGGTCGAACACCCTGTATTTACGATCGATGGCCTTGAAATAAATTCTGCCATCCGTTCGGTACACCAGTGCTCTTTGTCACAGACTTTTATACGCGAACGTTCGTTCGACGATAGACGAAAATGGTGAAACGCGAACGCGCGCGGGCGGACAAAATGAAAGCTGAAAATTAATCTTTGACCCCGGCTCGTAGTTTTTTTTTGTTTTTGGAGCTACGAGCGCGACGTCGATGATAAAAACACGCGACGAGGAAATGAAACATAAAAATTCCCCCGGGATGCAAGAGCAAGGTTGATGTTTACAATAATGTCCCCGGCGACAAATTTCATACCTTGGATCGTTGCAAACTTACGAGAAGCATCGTTTAATATATATGGGGGAAAATAAACAATGATTTTTGGGACTGTTTTTGTAGATTTGAATCGAGGAATATGAATAGATTTTCGATTCGAAAATTTTCGGGAGACCTCTTGGATGATTCGAATCTTTTCAAAAGTCTTTGATTTTTCTGCGAAATTTCGTAAGGAGCGACTCGGTGATACGACTGGGAGGCAGGTCGTCTGCCAGACCATCGTTTGACTGACGACGCGGGGGGAAAACAGTCGTCTTTACCTTTTTCCTTTTCGCTACTCTCCCCCGCAAAGGGATCGATCTTATCGGAAACTATAGTCTTCCGGGTAGAACCGACGCAAAATATTGGATGGCGTCTCGCCCAAGGAAAATATCGCATCTGCTTCGATATAAAACCGAAGTATCTCTTAATACTGGCATCCCCCGACCCATTTCAAACAATTCTATCCAGCATGGAGTGCCTTACATCCGTCTCTATACAGATAAAAATCGAGTACTTGCGAGAAAAATTTGAAATTTATTTTCACCGAGAAATCACTACTAAGACATTAATAATAATTATAAACTTTTAGTTAACATTAATAATTTTGAATAATTATTAAATAACATTGAAATTTGACCAATATATTCTAAATTCGACAGCTCTTGATCACTATAATCCATCCAAAGAGACCCAAAACAGTGATGGGGATGATTCAGTATCAACAATACAGTATTGGAGTTCTGTCTTTAAACGAGGGATTACTGATTTTACTGATTCACAAAGAAAATTCGTCTTGAAATTTATCTTTACCAAGGAAACCTTGTCCTACCCATTAATAACAATAACAAATTTTCAATTACCATTAATATCTTCAAAATTCAGCCAGTACATTCTCCACTTCACAGCTTTTAACCACTATAATCGATCAAAAGACACCGAAATAATGGTGGGGATGACTTGGTATCAACAATACGGTTCCAGGATTCTGTCTTTAAGCGAGGAATTACTGTCGTACTCGCTCAGTCGAACCCCGTCGCGCCCGCCATTAGTAGTAATCTTTAGATAGCGTGAAAGCTAGCTAGCTCCAGTTTGAAAGCCCCGTGCCAAACAAACGGCGCTTTTGTCGCTCGCGCGGCAAGTCGTCTCGCAATAACGTCGCGACATTTTAATAACCGAGTCGCAAGGAGCTCCCAGCGACGCGTCGACCTATGCAAATTTTCCGTCCGTGACGATAAAAGCGCGGCCTGTTCTTTGACTCTCTGCTCTCTCGACCTTTTAAAATAAAAAAATAAAAATACCCAACGCGTGACTCTGGACGCGTAACCGAATCGTCGCGCGGGAATGCGTTCGTCTCCAGCCCCGTCACGCTTTGTGTGTCTCATACGTATTTCACGTCGCGTCCCCGTCGCGTTTTCATCGAGTTTTCGCCCCGAAGAAGTTACCGCGCTTTGACGCTGGTCGCGTGCACGTTCCGCGCGTTTCGCGCCCGGAATTATATTTCCCTATTTATTGTTTCGTCGCTGGTCGCGTACGCGTTCGTGTTCGTGTTCGTGTTCGTGTTCGTGTTCGGCGACGAGTACCCGTGACAAAATTCAACCGACAAAAGATCGACGTTCCAGGGAAAATTCGACAGCCTCGAAAAATCGAAGCCCGCAGTTTAAAACCGTGGACCGATGATATTTTCACGGAGTGGCCAGAGGGGAGGGAATGGTGAATTAATTCAGAGATGCGAAAAGTGTATTAGAGTCGAGGGAGAGTATATTGAAAAATAACAGAAACGCGTTTCGCGAGCTTTTTGAACCTTCACGGAAGGAGACTGTTGCAGAATGTTGTGGTATTAATATCTTTTAACGGTATATTCCAATCAACGTTAAGCTAACCATACTGGGGAGGAAAAATATGTATCGAAATAAAAAAAAAGTAATATAGGAGAATTTTTTTATCAATATTTATAACATATTGTTGTAATTGAAGAAAGTATATGGTGAATATACTAGTGTTCGATATCGAGACGATGCTCGCGAATTACCATGATCATCTGAGTATGTCGTTTTTTTTTTAAATTCGGTCAAAATTCGGAATTCGAAACTTGGGATTTAGGGAACCGATATTTGGGAATTAATCCAAATCTTACATTAATTTATTTAACACGTTCCAAGCTGTTTTTGCCCAACTTGTCTGTCAGGCCACGACGTTTTCAGTGAATTAAATAAATGTGTCTGCGTGTACCATTTATGGTACACGTGGATTGAGCCCAAGTTCAACGTGTACCATATATGGTACACGCGACTTGAAGACCGAGTTCAGCGGGTACCACATATGGTACACGTGGCTTGAAGGCCGAGTCGCAACGTGTACCATATATGGTACACGCGACTTGAAGGCCGAGTTCAACGTATGCCACATATGGTACACGCGGTTTGAAGCCCAAGTTCAACGTGTACCATATATGGTGCACGCGACTTGAAGGCCGAGTTCAACGTGTACCACATATGGTACACGCGGTTTGAAGACCGAGTCCAACGTGTACCATATATGGTGCACGTGACTTGAAGCCCAAGTTCAACGTGCACCATATGTGGTACACGTGGTTCGAAGACCGAGTTCAACGTGTATCATGGCATGGAAACGCGTTAAGGGGGTCCTCTAAGTGTTACTTTTTGGCTTCTTTGGAGAATTTTTGGCGAATAACAACGTTTGCTTTTTGAGTATCGAAATAAAAAAAGTAATATAACAGAATTTTTTTTCAATATCTGTAATGTATTGTTATAATTGAAGCAAGTATACGATGAATTTACCAGCGTCCAATATCGAGATGATGCTCGCGAATTACCATGATTACCTTGGGTACGTCGTTTTTCTTTTTGAAACAGCGCAGCCTCGAAAGTTGCACGTCGACCGACGAGACGCATCCTGTCGCGGAGAACATTCGCGTAACATCAAATTGCAGTCTAGCGTTTAGTTTTTGCATTTTTGCATTTTTGCGCCGCATTCCATCTTTCATGTACACATCCCGACACCCTGTTCTCGCATACCTTACGAAGTTTTTTCGAACTTTCCTGTCGCTCACTCGCGCAATTTTTCTCCTCTGATGTGACGTATATTTCGTGGAGGGCGAATAATGTAATATTTCCGCGACGAGAAACATTTTCCACCGAACGTCCGAGATTGCGTTAAACGAATCAATCTCGCGAGGGAAAACAGTGCATTTGTAGAGAGGATTGTAGAAAAACATTTTTATCCATCTCTGGAAAAATATTTTGAGAATTCCTGTGTAAAATTATTTAAATGACCATTTCAGAGTTGGATTTTAATACCATTGAAAATTTACAGTGTACATTAGATGCTAATTTTTCATTAGAAAAGAGAAAAAACTACCATAAAGAGACGATTTTATGGCATGCATTGTCATTATTGGCTCCATCACTTAACTAAGGACTCCAACAAAAGCTATAGAGCCACAGTAGTACCATATTGAACCACATTAGTGTAGCCTTAAGCTCAGAATATTAACCATGAAAAATTATATAAAATATCTCTTTCGAATATGAAGATTCTACTACTACCTGATTGTTAAGAAACATAAAATTGAGGCTTTCTACTTAAGAATTAGACGAATCGAACAACCTGCGCCCCTCTCCCTCGCTCTGTTCTATCCATAGATGACGCAACGGACGATCCAATTAAACTTTTCCGATCTTTCTGTCCGCAGGAGACGCGAGTGGCGCCGAGTGTCCGGAGGACAGCGTCCGAGACGAGAACGGCGGTTGCAAATGCGCGACCGGATGTCCTCCAGCGGTCTGCCCGGAGGGTCAACGCCCCGTTCAAGTGAAGGCTGCGGATCCCCAGACTCCCGGTAGCTGTTGCGCCCGCTACGATTGCGTACCCTCAGGTAAGCAACCATCGTGTCCAACCGTGTCATAGTCCGGGCCACGATATAGCGAGCTCGTAAAATCGAGTAGAAAGTAAAGATGTTTCAGCTACCAGAACAAGCAAATTGAATAGATAAGGCCTTTAGACCATGGTCAAGGCCGTACGAAGTGTTTTATTCAGTGTTGTCATTTTTAGAAAGCCATTTTTAGAGGTACCGCTAGAGGTAAAGGTCTCACTCAAGTCTTTAATATATTAATTTATCTGCTCATAATATATGAATGTAGAAAATGGAAAAAGGCACCCTCAAGCAAGATGTCATGTACTCTCAAGAGCTTAGTTTACGATCTCGCTATATCGTGGCCCGAACTATACCAAATAACCAGCGAACACTGAGAACCTAGACACGAAAGACGAAACGCGACACGGTCCACCCCCGACGACGTATCCCGCCGCGAGGTTCGTTCGTCGATCACGATCGATGAGCCACGGTGTCCGTCGCGGCGGGAAACGATCGGTCCGCGACGCCGTGGCTCCCCCGGGTGACTCTGCTCGCGACAGAAACCATCTGAAAGTGTCGTTTTTCCTGTGAAAGACTCCCGAGGCATCGACCCGTGTCCCGAAAACAGCGCGTTAACGGAAGATGGAAAGTGCGAATGCGCTCCCTGTTCACCAGCCAGCTGTCCGGCCGGTTATCGTCCCGTTCAGGTGACGGACGACCTCGATCGCGAGACACCCGGTAGCTGTTGCCCTCTCTACGACTGCAGACCCTCAGGTAATTACGAAAGGTCGTAATCGAGGCTCTCCCGCTCTCCTATCGGCGGTCAAACCGATACGCGGGGAATGCGCCCCCCTGTCTAACGGGTCGATATCTTCGATCTACCTGCTCCTCCTCGCCTGCACCCGGTACTCCTGTGCCTTCGAGTTGCTCTCCAATCGCGATCCTCCACTGGGCAAACCTCCCATTCCTTCGTGCTTGTAACATAGGTGTACGGCGTTTCCTGGTGCCGCGAGCGAGACGTCGCAATTTTTGTGTCGAGATTCGTTTTCATTGGGCAAATTTCACCCCGGAAACAGGGGTCCAAATTCGAAATTTGGGATTTGGGATTTGGAGAACCGATATTTGGGAATTAATCCAAATTTTACATTAATCTATTTAACACGATCTCTGCTAAGTCGTTTTTGCTCGAATTGTCACTGAGACCATGATATTTTCAGTGAATTAAATAAATATGTCTGGGTGTACCATATGTGGTACACGTTAAATTTGACCTTCGGGACGCGTGTACCATATGTGGGGCACGTTAAATTTGGTCTCCGGGCACGTGTACCATATGTGGGGCACGTTAAATTTGGGCCTTGGGCCACGTGTACCATATGTGGTACACGTTAAATTTGACCTTCGGATCGGGTGTACCATATGTGGGACACGTTAAATTTGGTCTTCGGGTCACGTGTACCATATGTGGGGCACGTTAATTTTGGTCCTCGGGTCACGTGTACCATATGTGGTACACGTTAAATTTGACCTTCGGGCCACGTGTACCATAAATGGTACACACAGACATATTTATTTAAGCCATGATGTTCTCGGTGAATTAAATAAATGTGTGTACCATTTATGGTACACGTGACCTGAAGGTCAAGTTTAACATGTACCATAAATGGTACACGTGACGCGGAAATGTGTTACTGGGACCCTATAGTGTGAAAAAGCGTGTTTCTTTTAGACTTTCTTGGAGAATTTGTTTCGAAAAAACTATAAGAGTTTTTGCAGTCAAATTTGCAAGTTTTATTTGTACATATTTCAATGATATTTAAAAATGTTTCAAACGAAAAGAAATTAAAATTTATGGTACTGTATATTCCCAAACATAGTTGCTTCTGAAGAAAAAAGAAAAGAGAGAAAGGAACGTGAACGATTCTTAATTAGTATGAATTTTGCTGTAGCACGTTTCCCATGCTTCAGATCGGAAAAATGCATAGAACATTCCTTAAACTACACTATGTAGCAAGAAAAATGAGATCTCGAGGTACTCTGTACGATCGATAGAAGATACGAGGTTGTGAACGATAAAAAAATCGTTTCCATGGATATCTATTACAAGATCAAAGACGTATCCCCCTTAAAACTAGAGATATGTATGAACTGAATTGCTTTCGTACAGCAAATATTAATATTACCTCCGCGATGATATAAATTTATTGCTCCTCGAGTATTCATCTTTTTCAAAATGAATGTCTCCCTCTGGAATTTTTCTTATCTTTCTAGTGAGATATTTAAACCCGTCGAGATCTCATTTCTCTGTATTATGCAGTGTAATTCGAGATGTATTGTGCGCATTTTCCTGTCCAAAGCACAGAGAAAGTTTGATGAAACAATTTATAAAAATGAGGCATTTTTACATTGCAATCTTCAAACATTAAGAACATGAAAGAAATAAAAGAAACGATAATACAGTGAAGTAAATATTTTCTACATTTTCCTCAGAAAAAAGAAAATTAATGTTCTTTAATTAACCACAATTATTTAAATATTAACGTTAAGAACATGCAAGAAATAAAAAAAACAATAACATTGTGAAGCGAATATTCTCTGCTTTTTCCCTCTAGAGAAAAAAAAAATTGATGTTTTTTAATTGAATCGTAATTATCTAAATATTAAATAGACAGACTGTTGTGCATAAAATACAAATGTAAAGCTTATTTAACCATTCATATTGTTCCCCTGACATTTTCTCCAACTGCATTCACAATGGATTTATGACATGAAACAGTTGCGTGTACCAACCTGTATACATCTACATAAATTTATAACGTCAATATAGGATTGAGGTCTAGGGGATTTAAAGGACCAGAAAGTCCTTGTAGCTCGCTCACTTCAAAATAGATTAACCCCGTGACCCATATGTAGAAAATCATTGTTTGGGGAATCTAGTTCCTCGGTACTTGATTATTTCTAATACGAGCAGAAACCCCGCTTAATGCATGCACATACATACATTATTCAATTACTCCTACGAATAAGATCACCATATTGCAGTAATATTACTTCCCAAAAAGTTTCAAATTTTCCTGTATTTTCCTCGACGAATTTTAGACAATATAATATTTTTCTCATAAATGTAATAAATTGCCAATTAACATATTGTAAATAATATTACTTCTCAAAAATTTTCAAAAATTTCAAAATTCAAATTTTCCTATATTTTTCTCTATAAATTTTACACGATAAAATATTTTTCTCATAGGTGAGAACCTAATGTAATAAATTGTCAATTAACATATCGCAAGTAATATTGTTTTCCAAAAATTCTCAAATTTTCCTATATTTCTCCCGATGAATTTCGCACAGTAAAATAATTTCCTCATAGGTGAGAACCTAATTAAATAAATTGCCAATCAACATATTGCAAGTAATATTGCTCTCCAAAATTGAACAAATTTTCCTACATTCTCGTGGATTTTCCACTCTAAAAAGAATTCCTCATAGATGGGTACCTAATTTAATAAATTTATGTGCCCAATCGGATAAAAAACCCATCAAATTATAATCCTAGCTTTAAAAATGCAACGAAGCATTCGGACGCCTCCACTCTTCTTTTATCTCGACTTATTATTGCAAAATGCAACTGCATCAATTTTTTAATAAAAATTCTCGTCACTCTTCGCTTGTGAAAGAGCCAAGCCTAAAACCGGGATTAAAGAAGCCTCTAGAAAGTTTATACCAATAGAATCGATCCAAAGAAACTAGCAGAGTGGTGGGGATGACTCAGTGTCTTCAATGCGGGGCTGGAATTCTGTCTTTAAGCGAGGGATTACTTTTGAATTTTACTGATGTAGAAACTATCGCGTACTTATGAAGAAAATTCATGTTATAATTTATTTTCACAAGGAAAATCATCACTAACTCATTAATAATAATTATAAACTTTCAGATTATATTAATATTGAATTAACTTTGAAATTGGACCAGTGTATCTATAATTTCAAAGGTGTGGTCAACTAGAATCGATGCAAAGACACTTGAAGAGTGGTGGGCTGGAATTCTGTCTTCAAGCGAGGGATTACTGATTTTACTGACACATGAGGAAAATTTGTCTTGGAATTTATTTCCAATAAGAAAACCTTGCACTGTCCTTTAATAACAATCATGATCTTTTTTAGCAAACATTAATAACATTGAAATTTGACCAATATATTCTAAATTTCACAACTGTGGCTCACTAGAATCGATCCAAACGAACCTAGAACAGTAGTGGGGATGACCCACTATCTTCAATCCGGTCCTACAATTCCGTCTTTAAGCGAGGGATTACTGTCGTACGAATTCTTATTACAAAAATCCGATTGCGCCAATCTTTTAATAAAAAATCCTCGTCGCTCTTCACTTGTGAGAGAGTTAAGAATAGAAATTACCGGAGTGGCTGGTGCAGTGCTTGCTCTTACATACATAAAGCCTAAAACCAGGATTAAAGAAGCCACCGGAAAGTATAGTTCGTTAAGGTTAAATGAATTCCAAGTGAGAAAGAAACAATAGACGCGGCCCTCGGAGCCAGCACGACCGTAATTAAGGATTAAAGCCGTGGCTCTCGTTGAAAATTGCGCCGCTCGACGTTCTTGCCGACATTAGAAATTCGAGTCGCCTCGATTATAATCAGCGAGAAAGCTCCGGCTGATCTCCGCGCGCCGGGTGGCTGGGAAAAAGCCTTTTAAGTTTCGAGATACGCGGGGGACCAGGTTTGGCCCGGCGCCGCGCAAACTTTCGATTTACCTGTTGAATTTTAATGAGGCCATTCTTATCTCGCGGACGCGTTCACGAGTGCTCCCGATGCCACAACCACCCACCAAGCTCCAATAGCCATCCATTTTGAAATTTAATGACGACCGCTGGGAACAATTACGAAACCGCGACGATCGAAACAATCGTCAACCTGTGAGAATCCCAAAATTCAAATCTTAATGTTTATTGATCACCTAATCATCGACGTTTCTGTAATGGCAATTGGAACACGTCCCTTCTTCTTTCGTCATTGGCAGAAAATAATTTGCAATCCGGTGAGAGGAAATTCGATTTTAAGTGTGTACCATATATGGTACACGTGGCGTGGTGGGCAAGTTTAACGTGTACCATACATGGTGCACGTGGCGTGATGGTCAAGTATAACGTGTACCATATATGGTGCACGTGACGTGATGGTCAAGTTTAACGTGTACCATATATGGTGCACGCAGTGTTTAGTGACTATTCTCATCTCGCGAACGCGTTAACGAGTGCTCCGGACACCATAACCGCCCACAAAGCTCCAATAGCCATCCATTTTGAAATTTAATGACGATCGCTGGGAATAATTACGAAACCACGACGATCGAAACAATCGTCAACCTGAAAGAATCCAAAATTCAAACCTTAATGTTTGTTAATCACTTAAGCGAAAATATTGATCTTTGACGTTTCTGTAATGGCAATTGGACCACCTCCCCTCCTCTTTCGTCATTGGTAGAAAATAATTTGCAACCCGGTAAACGAGGAAATTCGATTTAAATTTCAATTTCGCTAACAGCAATCTCGAAATTTCGAGTTTCTGGCTCCGTAGCTGCACCCGGTACCACGGAGTGTTTAATTACGCTTTCGACATAATTAGTGACGTAACGATAATAAATATTGATCGAGCCGTTTCGATGGGCATTCAGCTCCTGTAGAGCTCTGTCTGTTTTGTTAACAAACATCGATTAATTGGTAAACATAAACTCCGGTTTGTCCGGTTGTTCTTCGCGAACGTCGCTACCGGAAGATCGTGCTCCGCCATTTTGTTCTCGATTCGTCGAACGAAACGTTTAGTATTGTAGAAAGAAAATAAGAACTGTATTAGGAAGAATGAAAATTAAAAAAGTAATCATTCTAAATATTTTTGATTTTGGAACAAACTCTTTTCAACAAATTTTTATTTAAAATCGAGTTTAAGCTTGTGTTATTGAATTTTTATTTACTTTCTATTTTGTAAACTTGCAAAGATTGACTGGAAAAGCATTTGATTAAGCAAAACTCGCAATTTCTTTCAAAACTTATCTACCTTTCTCCTTAAAATACAAGTTTCAAGTAACGTTGCCCAGACTTATGGTCCACGAAGGCCGCCATCTTCTACGTGTAAGTCCTGTAATTGCTTTTCGAAGAGTGTTCCAAAGTTTCGGGACCAAATTCTCGAGGTAATTCGACGATTACAGGGTTCTCGACAATCCGAGACCTCGATAGTTGGCAACTCCGGAGTATTACAAAACGATTACTATACTATATAACCAGAATCGATTTAGAAAAACGTACGTAACAAGAACTTCGTGTTGAACTAACGTACAACTCGCCAAAAATCATTATTTGAGCGACTACTAAGTGATATACGAGTCTCCCTCGCTTGTTGCAACAGAATCTACGTTAGGGATACTTGCAAAAGAATTGATTGGCTTCAGAAAAAAGTATGTAACTGCAACTTAGTGACAAAACAACGAATAGATTCGTCAGAAACCATTATTTCAACGATTACTAACCGATATACGAGTCTCCCTCGCTTGTTGCAACAGAATCTGCGTTAGGGATACATGCAAAAGAATTGATTGGCTTTAGAAAAAAGTATGTAACTGCAACTTAGTGACAAAACAACGAACAGATTCGTCAGAAACCATTATTTCAACGACTACTAACCGATATACGGGTCTCCCTCGCTTCTTGCAAAAATCTACGTTAGGGATACATGCAAAAGAATTGATTGGCTTTAGAAAAAAGTGTGTAATTGGAACTTCGTGTCGAAACAACGTACAACTCGCCAAAAATCATTATTTGAGCGACTACTAAGTGATATACGAGTCTCCCTCGCTTGTTGCAACAGAATCTACGTTAGGGATACTTGCAAAAGAATTGATTGGCTTTAGAAAAAAGTATGTAACTGCAACTTAGTGACAAAACAACGAACAGATTCGTCAGAAACCATTATTTCAACGACTACTAACCGATATACGGGTCTCCCTCGCTTCTTGCAAAAATCTACGTTAGGGATACATGCAAAAGAATTGATTGGCTTCAGAAAGAAGTATGTAATTGGAACTTCGTGTCGAAACAACGTACAACTCGCCAAAAATCATTATTTGAACGACTACTAGCCGATATACGAGTCTCCCTCGCTTCTTGCAACAGAATCTGCGTTAGGGATACTTGCAAAAGAACCAATTGGCTGTAGAAAAAAGAGTGTAAGTGGTACTTCATGTCGAAACAACGTACATATTCATCAGAAACCATTATTTGAACGACTACTAACCGATATATAGTAGTGCCTCGCTTCTTGCAACAATCTGCGTTATGGATACTTGCAACGGAATCGACTATTCATGTTCCTTTGACTCAGGAACTAAATTTCGTCACTATTCTTTGCATTACTGATACTTAAACGTTATTTTTGTTCGTATCATTTTTATTTTTATTTCTTTCCTCCTATTTTTCAAGAATTAAATGTTATAATTTGTATTGATCGATTCACAAGAAGGTGGCTTCGATTTCATTGCAAGAAAAGAGGCAACTTAGTGTTGAAACAACGTACAACTTGTCAGAAATCATTATTCCAACGGCTACTAATCAATATATGGTTCTCCCTCGCTTCTTGCAACAATCTGCGTTAGGGATACTTGCAATAAATCGACTATTCATGTTCCCTCGACTCCAGAACTGAATTTCATGACAATTCTTTGTAGTATTGATACATATACGTTACTTTCGTTCTATTTTTCTAGAACTAAACGTTATAATTTTTATTAATCATTCCACACAAAGATAGCTCAGATTTCATTGCAAAAAAGAGGCAGTACCACATAGAAGGTGGTTCACCTACATAAAACCACCTAAATATCTTCTCTAATTGTGCGGTTACAAAAAATATTTTATATGCTATTTGAACTAATATTTTTTAATTTTTTTCGTAGTTCACAAGGTTATCGATGTTTTTTTTTTGCGTATAATTCTATAATTTTTTTTTATTGCATCGCTGAAGTAAAAACACATTCAGATATGTACATTACATGACCTTGAAAAATAAATAGAAATAAACAATGTTTGTTTATCGTGGGGCTCTGTGAGTGTAAATAAACGTGTTTTAATATTTTGGTGTTAGATAGACAACCAGATAGACAACTCTGTGCAAAACCCAAAAAAGACCCAAAAACTTGTTTGATTTCCATTTCGAAAATATTTAACGTGGCGTTCCCCATTGCAGAGTCTGTGTTGTGGGTAAAGATGGCGACAGAGGACACGAAATCGACGAAACATTGCATCTACGAGGACAAAGCGAAGAAGGTGGGCGAACAATGGCAGCAGTCGGACTGCGTGACCTGCGTCTGCGAGGAGGAGGGAGTGTCCTGTCAGGAACCGATGTGTAAGTCCTGCGAAAACGCCATTCCTCCGAATCCGGGCGAGTGTTGCCCCCACTGTCCCATACCGACGAATGCAACGATCGAGGAGCTCGAACCGCCTTGCCGAAATTCTTTAGAAAACTGCGACTTGACATGCGATCATGGATACGTGAACGACGAGAACAATTGTCCCATCTGCAGCTGCATCGTGCAAAAGGTACGTGGGAAAAATAATGTCCTTCGAAATCAATAAACAGAAATCAACGAGTCCCCAATATTTGATATTTTTGAAAATTTTATAAATAGTCCAAAAAATTTTGTACGTTCAATTTTAATAACTTTGGATATAAAAATTATGAATATATGAATGGGTTAAATTCCTTATAAATTATATGTCCAGGGCAATATCGTTTAAAACTTCTTCTAGCACAGTTTGGTAAATTTTCAAAAAAACCAGTCGAGTAAATTTTTTTCAAATTTTATTGAGTCATTTTGACTGGTTTGGTAATTCCAATGTTAAATACCTTATAAATTATATGGTATTATTCAATTACAGAGTTTAATAAATTTTCAAAAATTTAATCGAGAAAAATTTTTGCAAATTCTGTTAAAAATTATGAATGGGTCATTTTGACTGTTTTAAATAACTTATCAATTTTATGTCCAAGGCAATACCGTATAAAACTTCTTCCAATACAGAATTTAGTAAATTTTCAAAAATTGAGTCGAGTAAATTTTTTACAAATTTTGTTGGGTTATTTTGACTGGATTGGTAGTTCTAATGTTAAATTTCTTACAAATTATATGTCTAATGCAATATCTTCTAAAACTTCTTCAATTTTCAAAAATTTAATCGAGAAAAATTTTTTGCAAATTCTGTTAAAAATTATGAATGGGTTATTTTGACTGTTTTAAATACCTTATAAATTATATGTCCATTGCAATAACGTCTAAAACTTCTTTTAGTACAGAGTTTAATAAATTTTCAAAAATTGAGTCGAGAAAAATTTTTATAAATTATGTTAAAAATTATGAATGAATCTTTTTGACTGTTTTAATTATTTTATAAATTATATATCCAAGCCAATATCGTCCAAAACTTCTTTTAGTGCAGAGTTTAATAAATTTTCAAAAATTGAGTCGATTAAATTTTTTACAAATCTTATTAAAAATTAGAAATAGTCGATAATAATATAATAATTCTTGTCTCAATCACTTGGAATCAATCTCTCGAAATTGTTAAGAATCTCATGTTCCAAAATTCTACACCAAAAATTTGCAATCGAAAGGCGTCTTTCGTAACAGTTTTGACAACCACGTTTCCGGGTTTCAGGAGAACGACGACTCCGTGGTAGTGCATCCACCAGCGGACGTCGATAAAGTTTGCCCAGAGCTGCCGCATTGTGGACTCAATTGCGACCTCGTGAAGGACGAGGGGGGATGCTCTGTGTGCGCTTGTCAGACACCACAGACCTTCGAGGAGCCCACCAACGACAGCGTCGTGATCGACGCGACCGGAAAGAAGATTTGCCCGGAGGTCAAGTGCGACTTGCACTGCGAGCGCGGTCTGGTCATGGACGAGAACGATTGCACGTTTTGCAAGTGCAGGGCGCCCAACACCAACTGTCCGCCCCTGGAGGGATGCAGAAAACGATGCACCTTTGGCTACAAAACGAACAAACGCGGCTGTTCCGTGAGTTTTATTTCCGCATTCTCTATTCCAAACAAAAGTCCCTTTTTGTAAACAATTTTTTAAACTGATTCACTGATTTTGAAATTGCTTGAAAGTTGAAAGCATAGTTCATATGTAAATTACTAGGAAGTTTCAAGAACGTAATTCGTGAAGAGCTATAGTCATCGATCTGTGTTTGTTGAGTAACTTCGTAATTGATTTGAAACTAGAAATTAGATTTTCATTGGGTTCGAGTCTATTAAATACCAAACTATCGAAAGTAAGAATTTTGTAAACGAATTGGATGATTAGTTTTCGTGTTTTAATTTCAAATTTAAATAAACAATTTATAATTTAGTTTCATCGCACACCAGTTTTATAATCGATGGGAATTGCTGAAACCTCTTTGGGAGTATAGAGTCAAAGTAGATTTCAAAATAAACATAGAAGACAACGTAAATAATAATAGTTGATATGTTCATTGGATAAGGGATGAAGAGACCTTTAAAATGAGACTTGTTTCAAGTCGATAGCTTAATTAGTTCCGGGGATATGAGGGTTCGAAGCGTTTGTTTACCTTTCGTTGTTTACGTCGCGAGGTCATTGACCTCACGCGATCGTAGTAAACGTGACGTCACTCGGTCTCGACTCACGCGCGAGAGAGAGTAAGAGGTCCTACGCGTTAGACGGAGACAGAGATAGTCGAATTAAAAAAATTACCTTATACATAAATTACGATATCTCCAAAACGGAAAGTCGAATCACCAAAATCCAAAAGGTGTTTTTAAAGAGGAAGCTTTGCCGCTGCTAATGGTGGCCCAATAATGGATGGAACTTTAATAGTTTCGAAACTGCAAGCGTGTAAATTTTGACTGTTTTTAATACGCGTTGTTAGGCTGTTCCAAGACAGTGAACACTGAATATTCTCTCTTTTCGTCTTTGCTATACATATATCTTCTATTTACATCGGAAGCTAACCGGAATTTGACTGCAAATTGCAAACAATGCCCAGCTTTTTACAAAAAAATATAAATCGTTCAGACTACATATTATTCTAAGAAAACAAACAACAAAAATAAAAGCCAATATTGGAAAATTCATTGTATTTAATTCACGCAATGTCACTAAAATATCATTATATATTAAAAATTCTAAACGAAATTTTAAAAATGATCATTTATCCAGTCGTGGTGGATTCAATGTTAATAAAAACAAATTTTACACAGAAAACAAACAATAAGAATGGAAGTGAATATTGAAAAATTCATTGTACTTAATTCACTCAATGTCGATAAAATATCGTTATACAGGGTGTCCGGACACACCACATTTTAATGGGAGTTAAAAAGTTATTCAAAAATTAAATTAAAACATTTCAAATCATTCTAAAAAAATTATTTTTAGCTAGTGGGGTCAATTACAATCATTTTTGGTTAATACACATACCCTAGAAATCCTAACCAGTTTGGAGAAAAAAATTCCTCACCGAAAATATAATTTCAAGCCAGAAATGTCACTCCAATATTTTATGCATATCTTTAAAACGTCATAACTTCTGAACGGATTGCAGGATTTTAATGTTTCAAAAAGCAAACCACGCGAATTTTGATGGAGACTATGTGAAAATTTCAAAAATATTCGAAAAGTTGTACCTTGACCCCGTAAAGTGAGAAAAACCCCATAAAAATGGTTCAATTTTCAAACAGCCATAACTTTTACAATAGTGAATATATTTCAATGAAACTCTTTTCTGAACTAGAGCTCCTAAGTACCTACAAAAAAGTATTAAACAACATTTCCGTAGCGTGTCAAACAAATTTATTAAAAATGAATAACGAATTTTTAAGAAAAATCGACAGGCTGAAATTTTTCGGCGAAAAAAAAATTTCAAACCATTCTAAAAAAATTATTTTTAGCTAGTGGGGTCAATTACAATCATTTTTAGTGAACACACATACCTTCGAAATCCTACGCAGTTTTGAGAAAAAAATTCGAGTAGGTATTTTTCGACGAAATTAAAAAATTTTGAATCGTTTTGAAAAAATTATTTTTGGTTGAGGGGGTCAATTACAATCATTTGTGGTCAATACACATACCTCCGAAATCCTACGTACATTCGAGAAAAAAATTCCTAAACGAAAATATACCTATATACCTACAAGGCGTTCGACCACACTTGGGAAAAATGTTAATGGTAGATTCTAGAGACCAAAATAAGTCGAAAATCAAGAATACTAATTTGTTGATCGAGGCTTCATTAAAAGGTTATTAATGTTTAAAGTTGCTCCTGTAGAACGGCAATCTTCGTACGCGTGACAGTGCGCCGTTCTAACTTTAAACATTAATAACTTTTTAACGAAGCCTCAATCAACAAATTAGTATCCTTGATTTTCGTCTTATTTTGGCCTCTAGAATCTCCCATTATAATTTTTCCTAGGGTTTGCACTTTAATAAAAACAGGGTTAATAAAAACAAGTTTTACTCAGTTGCTTGCACACCATCGAACTTAACTTCGCGTAAACAAAGTTTGTATCATTTTCTAGACCAAACTATTCCATCCTGTAGGCTCTAAGGAAGAAGTGGAAGGCGATTTCGAGCTAACCACGCGTTGCATCGTTTCAGGTATGTCGTTGTCGAGCCTCCTGCACCGATCACCTGAACGGAACGCATCCGGAAGGATCGACTTGGCAACCGAACGCGTGCACCACGTGCACCTGCGAGGCCGGAGGAAGACTCGGCTGCAGAGAAACCATCTGCTCGGTAGCCTGTTGCAACCCGTTGCCTCCGAAGCCAGGAACCTGTTGTCCAATCTGTCCAATTACGGTAAGTACCGGTCCAGAGGCGACGCGGTGTTCGAAAACGGCGATTTAAACCCGAAAAAGTTCGATTTTTTACCATCTCCAATATCGTTTTACTATTTTACTATTTACTTTCAGCTGTCATTAAGTTTGCAAACCCTTGAGGATCTTCGTTTGAAACATTATTTATCCCCCAGAAATTGTTTAAATAGGTTAATTTTTACTGAGAAAATCTACGTTTCTGTTCTTCTTGGAAATCTGTTTTTGGAGTTCATATTTCCCCTTCTAGGAAACAATGACATTACAATGGTTGAATTTTGTACTGTATGAATCTTGCACAGGAAGGTACTTTATTTTAGAATAAAAATGATTGATCAAAATTTATTATAATTTTGAATATAGGTAATCAGAAAGAACCAAATTTAGTATGCAGTTATCCTAAGTTTTTGGGATAGAAGTTATGAAATTGGTACGTATTAGTCAAGGTTCCAGCACGAGCTTGTAGTTTACGTTCGTTTCTTTTTAATTTTTTATACTTTTTTGATAATGTAACTTTAAAGTTAGCGAATCTTGTCCTTATCAATCCCATTTTCTGTTATTTTTTTTTAATTAAGTAATTTAATTTTCATAGGTAGATGGATAAATTTTTCAACAAAATTACAAAAATTTCAAATCGTTCTAAAAAAATTATTTTTAGTTGCGGGGGTCAATTATAATCATTTTTGGTGAATAGACATAGCCCCGAAATCCTACCCACTTTCGAGAAAAAAATTCTTTACCGAAAATATAATTCGTGGCCAGAAATGTTTCCCCAAAATTTCATGCGTATATATCTACAAGGCGTTCGGTCACACCTGGGAAAAATTTTAATGGCAGATTCTAGAGACCAAAATAAGACAAAAACCATGAATAGTAATTTGTTGATTGAGGCTTCGTTAAAAAGTTATTAATGCTTAAACTTGCGCCTGTAGAACGGCGCACTGTTACGTGTACGTTGCGCCGTTCTACAGGCGTAACTTTAAACAGTAATAACTTTTTAACGGAGTCTCAAACAACAAATTAGTATACTTGATTTTCGCCTTATTTTGGTCTCTAGAATCACCCGTCAAAATTTTTCCGAGGGTTGGCCTAACACCCTCTACACTATTCGATGAATAACAGTGGGAGTTCAAAATATCCTTTAAAAAACAAGTGTATCTATAAGAATTTAAATTTCGTGAGAATAATAAAACCAAAAATTACCAAATACATTTTTTTTATACTATTATTTCGTAACTCTTTTTATGCAAATCAAATGCGAATAAATTGAGTATTTTAAAAATGTTATAAAAGTCCCCATTTGAATTCTCAAACCTCTTTTTGACAATTTTGAATTTCTCGACAATAATAAAAACAAAAAAATACCAAATAGAACAGAAAAAAACGCGTTTTACAGTAGAAGACCCTGATATTTGAATTAAATTTTGTTTAATTCAATCATATTAACTTTCGATAAACATTTACAACCAGAATATTTACATTTAATTTTTTTATATTCTATTATTTAGTAATTTTTTTTATGCGAATAGAATCATTTGGTGATAATTAATTTGTAACAAAATTAAATATAAATTTGATGAAAGTTCCCATTTGAATTCTCAAACCTCTTTTTGACAATTTTGAATTTCTCGACAATAATAAAAACAAAAAAATACCAAATACAACATTTAAAAAACACGTTTTACAGTAGAAGACTCAAGGTGAAATATAATTTTTCGCGTCTAAATCGCCGTTATCGAAAACCATTCGACGTATTATAAATAAATAAATAAATAAATTAATTAACGTGAAAACACAAAAATTTCTCTCCTGTCCACAGGATTCGAAGGAGAACGAGACTGGCGGCCACCAAGGTAGCAGAAGCATGGGCACGGTATCGATCACGTTGATCGTCATACTATCGGTGCTCTGTTTGGCGTTGATCGTCGACATAGTCCGCAGTCGATTCCGCGGACGACTGTCGCCGTCGGAGACGTCGTTCGCGTCGTATCCGTCGCAGTACTACAAATACGTGCCCGCGTACGACACGCCGATGCATCGAAACGAGAAAATCGTACCCCTGTAAAAGACTGTAAAAAGAAACAAAAAAAAAACAAAAAACAGAGAAAACCAATTCCGAGAGAAATTACGAAAAAGTCCTGGACGGGTTCACCCCCCAGTCGCGTACCGTTGACGAAAACGAGAAAAAGAATTTAAAAAAAAAAAAAAAAGATCCGACCGCGGGGACGGAGAGAAGAGTCCCCCGATTTTTGGGACCGTCGAATCTGGGTCCCCTAATTTTCTTTTTTTGTGGATACGAGAAAAAGTAAAAAAAAAAAAATATGTCAGGCGAAACGGGCTTGAAAAATACCATGCGTAGCTTCAGTATTATTTGTAAGTAGCGAGGACGGTGTTGCGATTAAAATGGAAGAAAAGGGATGGGTGGTGAGGAAGTACCGGAAGCTCGTGACACGGCTGTCGATAACTATCTTCAGCCCCCCTAACTTAATACGATATCGTGTTGTAACCTGTAAATTATAATATAAAAGTTAGCGTAATTACCGTGGAATGGTAAACAAGTGAATATACTAATGGTAATGCTGGTAGATCCTAACTTAATCGAGAACCGTAGAAGAGAGACAGGTGTCTCGATCCGTAGTACATATTAGTTCCCTCGATCTCTGGACCATCGTTGTTGTTTCGCGTTGTGATAACGAAGCTCCGCCGTTTACTTGGACGGCACAGAGAACCACGCAATGGTTTCAATACGGTGATCATCGAAATGGCAACCATAGGGGATGAGAGCAATGTTTCTTTTATCGAGTTTATTCTCAAAATTTTTTCTGGTATTTTTTTAATCTTAATTTACAAGGAAGACAAATTTTTTGAATAATCAATCTAGTCCCCTTTACAAATTTGAGACTGGGAACCAATGGGGATGAAAATAAAAAAAATTTTTTGTTTTGTTTTTCAAAATTTTCACTGACACCTTCTTAATTTGGTACCTTTACGATCATAATTTACAAGAAAAATTTACTTCGAATTGTTTCACAAAAAGTTTTTTGTACATTCTTAATTTGGTACTTTTTTAATCTTAATTTACAAGGAAGACAACATTTTTAAATAATCAAGTTGCCCTACCTTCTTAATATTCATTTACAAGAAAGAAAAATTTTATAAATATTCAAGGTCCCTGTAAAAATTTGGGACTTACGCCTACCTTTGTTACTTTCATACCCGAGGAATCCCTAATTATTCCACAAAATTTCTACTTCCACCTTCTTAGTATTCATTTACAAGAAAAAAAATTGTTTAAATAGTCGAGGTCCCTCTAATAATTTGGGACTTACACTTACATTTATTATTTTCATCCTAGAGGAGTTCTTTACTTATTCTTCAAAATTTCTACTTCTACTTTCTTAATCTATTCCTCCTTAAATATTCTTTTACAAGAAAAAAAATTGTTTAAATAGTCAAGGTCCCTCTAATAATTTGGGACTTACACCTACCCTTATTACTTTCATCCTCGAGGGGTCTTAAATTATGCCTCAAAATTTCTATTCCTACCTTCTCAATATTCATCTACAATACACAAAATTTTTTTAAATAGCCAATGTCCTTCTAAAAATTTGGGACTTACACCTACCCTTGTTACTTTCATCCCCAAGGAGACCCTACTTATTCCTCAAAATATCTGTTCCTACCTTCATAATATTCAACTACAATACAAAAAATTTGTTTAAATAGCCAATATCCTTCTAAAAATTTGGGACTTACACCTTGTTACTTTCATCCCCGGAGGAGTCCCTACTTATTCCACAAAATGTATACTTCTACCTTTTTAATATTCATCTTCAATACAACAAAATTTGTTAAACAATGTTCCTCTAAAAATTTGGGACTTACACCTTATTACTTTCATGAGAAGTTTCCCGGGGAACTCCGTACTTATTCCACAAAATTTCTACTTCCACCTTCTTAGTATTCATTTACAAGAAAAAAAATTGTTTAAATAGTCGAGGTCCCTCTAATAATTTGGGACTTACACTTACATTTATTATTTTCATCCTAGAGGAGTTCTTTACTTATTCTTCAAAATTTCTACTTCTACTTTCTTAATCTATTCCTCCTTAAATATTCTTTTACAAGAAAAGAAATTGTTTAAATAGTCAAGGTCCCTCTAATAATTTGGGACTTACACCTACCCTTATTACTTTCATCCTCGAGGGGTCTCAAATTATGCCTCAAAATTTCTATTCCTACCTTCTCAATATTCATCTACAATACACAAAATTTTTTTAAATAGCCAATGTCCTTCTAAAAATTTGGGACTTACACCTACCCTTGTTACTTTCATCCCCAAGGAGACCCTACTTATTCCTCAAAATATCTGTTCCTACCTTCATAATATTCAACTACAATACAAAAAATTTGTTTAAATAGCCAATATCCTTCTAAAAATTTGGGACTTACACCTTGTTACTTTCATCCCCGGAGGAGTCCCTACTTATTCCACAAAATGTATACTTCTACCTTTTTAATATTCATCTTCAATACAACAAAATTTGTTAAACAATGTTCCTCTAAAAATTTGGGACTTACACCTTATTACTTTCATGAGAAGTTTCCCGGGGAACTCCGTACTTATTTCTCAAAATGTCTACTCCTACTTTCTTAATATTCATCTACAATACAACAATTTTGTTTAAATAGTCCCTCTAAAAATTTGGGACTTACGCCTTGTTATTTTCATCCCCGATGAGTCCCTACTTATTCCACAAAATTTCTACTCCATCTCAATCTGTTTCTCCTCAAATATTCATTTACAACAAAGAAAAACTTTAGAAATATTCAAGGCCCCTCTTTTAATTTGGGACTCACACCTCACTTTCATCCCCGGAGGAGTCCCTACTTCTCCCACTATTGCATTTCGACCTCGAACGATGTAGATTGCCTGTTGCAAAAGTCTCTGTGCGCTATTCAGGTTGTAAAATGGCGGCATCGAGCGGGCGCGTTAAGCGTTCTGGGAATAACGTCGACTCGGGAAGAAATATTAATTCACCGGTCGGAGGCGATACTTTGTTCTCGAAGCGGAGCGTCGTTAATCACGGCATTGCTTGCGGGAGCCCTAGTTACAGAGTACGTTCGTTCTTACGCTCCACGGGAGACCTTTTATTTCACGGCGGATTAAATCCAAGCGTCTTAATTTGTCATCGAGGACCAACCGGGTACGAACGAAAGAGATGAAAAATGCTTTTTTGCCGTGCCTCGCTCGTAAGAACAGCGTGGTAGATTTAATATTATAGGTTAGCCTCCGATAACTGTGTTACTAGACTGTTCCTATGTTTCGCCTTTCTTTAACGCGAATAGTGTATCTTCGTACCTAGCGACGTCGAGTGTGACGCGCGATATTTATACTTCTGTCGAAAAACCTGGCCGTTGTTTTGTCGTGGGAGGAAGAAAAAAAGTCCCTTATACCCTGAAAATGAGGGCTCGTTTAGGGCCGGGGAAATACAATGTCGAATATTCTTTCGTGTCTCTGGACGTTCGTAGATCTATAAATCAAACTCCTTGAGATAATTGTATTTTTTTTTTATTAGGTCGTCCCATAAATTCGTATAAAATTGATAATTTAAGAAGGAACATTTAATGAAAATTTACACACTGGCAGACCAAAAATATTTGACCCTTATTTTTTGTTTATTGTTCATGTTGGAGGGATGAAATTCGTCCTCGAAGTAGAAGCTGTTAAGTATATTTGCTCCAATTTGTTGCAAACTATTAAAAATATTAGAATACTGTAAATGGATGAAGTTTATATTTTTTCAAAAAAATATTGGACCCTTATTTTTTTTTGTCATCCAGGTTGAAGATATTACAAATTATTAAAAGATTGGAATGGTGTAAACGGATGAATATTAAATTTTTAATAACAGATTTTTTGGAAGAGGGAAATTCTTCACTGTCCGGTCTCCTAGCGCCGTATTCAAAAGCATGGTGTCGTGACTCATATAAGGGTCACAGACAGTGAACGTCTCGACGGATGAAAACATCATTTAACGTGTTCACTGTCCGGCCACTCAGCGATGTATCCGGAAGCATGGTGATGTGACCCGTATAAGGGTCACAGACAGTGAACGTCTTGACGGATGAAAAATGTTTTAAACGCGTTCACTGTCCAGCCCCTCAGCGGCGTATTCGAAAGCATGGCGTTGTGACCCACATATGAGTCATCGACAGTGAACTTGTTGACGGTTGAAAAATCGTTTAATACATTCACTCTCCGGTCACTTAACTACGTATTCAAAAGCATGGTGTTATGACCCATATACGGGTCATGGGCAGTGAACGTGCTAATTTTCGCAATTTTTTTTTTATTATATTCTTTTGCAAATATTAAACCAGTCGTCAGATATTATGTTCTGTTTGGAAGTAATAGTGTAAAAATAACTATGTTGTCGTGAGAATCGATTACAAAATAGATTTTTTGGAAAAAGGAAATAATAAAAATATTGGAATAGTGTAAACGGATGAATACTATACTTTTTTGGAAGGGGAAAATTTAAGAAACTCAAATTCTAATACAAAACACAACACAAATTTATAGGACGACATAATAAAATACTTCAATCAAGAACATACAAAATTTTTATCTGCAATGAGAGACACTATTGTTCACATTTTTTCAAACTTGAAAAAAGGAGTTTTTAAACAAAAATTTTGTCGAATTCGAGTAGCTGTGAAACATTGGAACAGCCCCAGTCCTATTTTCGTATCGAAAGATTTATAATCACGACGGTTGCATAAAGAAAACAATGCTTCGCCCTTATTTTTCTGCGCGGTGTATCGTTTTTTGGTTTCGTATTCTGCTGCTTCGACGCGGAAAAATCACGGCAAGCGGGAAAGAAAAGAGCTGACCTCTCTCGATCGGAGGCGCATCGACACCGGAAACTTTTATACGACTTTTATACGGTGCTGATTTCTCAAAGCGGAAACAACAACAACAAAAAAGTTCTATATTTTTGTACGGTTCGGTAGGCGGTTTAATTTATTGTTTAGCGCGTTTCATTCCGAGCGTCGTGTGTGTCATTTGCTTTCCAAAATTTGGAACACGCGTTTTACGTAGCAAAGATCGTGGTCTCGATGAAAGATCCAAGAACCAGA